GGTGCATACTGCATGCGGCTCGTCTACCGCGCTATTAATTTTCGGCGCTACAACACACACACAAACAACGCTCAACGCACTTAATTACCAGCGGCAATAGCACGCAGTCACTCAAGGAAGTCTCCAGCCACTCATCGGTATATTCACTGGCATCTATACCCTGCAAAAAATGCGACTAATCCGGGATGCCTGCGGAAGCAATATCAAAGGAACATGCGACTAATACTACTCCGTTGTGTTAAGCGAATACTCTTTTTGTGTGCCAACACCGCATATAAAATTTCGCTAACTAAGTGCGTACATTTCATTAAATTGTTAATAGTATCCGTTAGAGATCAGACGGGGACTAATTGATCTCCAATAATACCCGTGTGAGACTAGTTGCGACTAATTAATGCCCAATTGTACCCGATTGAGACTAATCTCGGAATACTCCCTTTAGAGATTAGTAGCACAATTTTTTGCAGAGTACATATTTATATATGTATGTATGTATTAGTTTGTGCGTTGGAACTTCTATATGTATGTGCGTTTCTTATGCATCGCTTTTACGTAAGCGCTGCACTTACTTTTCCTCTTTTCCAACTTTTTTCTTTTACTTCTTTAACTTGCTTACTCTCCTTAGCTGCCCTCCTACCCGCGGTACAAGATTATCTCTTCCATGTTAATCAAGTATAATTAAGAAATTTCATTAAAATGTTAAATGTATGCGAACAAACGAGCGAACGACCGAGCGAACGAATGAACAAATTCATTAAAATATGCGGGAAACGTCGTTTGTGGACTTGTACAACGCCGTTAGAGCGCATTTCATAGCTTCCAAGTGAGCGAGTGGTTGTTGGGTGGTGGTTTGTATGTATGTAAGTAGATTCATTTAAATAAACACAGGCAATAACATTTTACCAACCTACAGTAGCACCAACAACTTTTTATAACAATTTCGACAAATAGACAAACAAGCTGTATAGACAGTAAAAATAATAGTCAACACAAGTGAAGTGAAGGGGAGAGGAGGGGAGAACACAGTCTCTACCGCCCATATTTATTATGGTGCGAAATTGGCTAACAGCCACCCCAAAAACTGTTGCCTCTTCGGCATGCCCAAAGAATTACGTTAAGTGTCTGTGAAACCGTTAAAGTAATATCGTTTTTATGATATCATCATAATATTAATTTTTTATGTAATGTTTTAATTGCGGTTGAGTTTATTAGTAAAAAAGGCGTTTACATCGAATCGCCGGAAAAGAGTTTGGCGTTCGTAAATTACGCGGAAAAACTGTAAACCATTTATTTAATAATTTTTTTGTCTGAATTTTCATTCTGTTCATCCGTTTGAGTTATTATGGTTGTATTTTTATTCTTATTAAATGTGTATACATACCAGTGTTGCCACGGACAAATTTTTTCGCCTACCATAATTTCCTATCAAAACCTACCAAACCTACTATCGTTAACTTCCCATTAAATTGGTAACTGTCCGGTGGTCCAAAGAAAAAGTCGCTAAAGGCCGGTTACTCAATGTCTGGTTAACACTAATCTCCGGTTTAATATAGTTATCGACGTTATCGACTCCCTGTTGTATGTATGCATGGCCTTGATGCCATTTTTGAAGAGTCTAAGGCCTTTAAAGCTGCCGGACAATCCGACATAATACTTATTCTGCCCTCATTTGTCCTTCTACGTGTAGACATTCGCGAACACAATCTTCGATTGCGGAGACTTTCGCCTGAAATATGTGCCCATTGGCAGACTTTTCTGCCTGCCCCAGCATTCCCGGCGTCCATATTCGATCCATCGGTATACCTCCCGGCATGTTCCACCTCTATAAGTGGAGTTAGGCCTTCGATTTCCTGTACCAATGGATACTGTTGCATCCTTTGTATACTTTTATTGTATTGCCGTAGGGAAGCTTGGTGGTTCTGTAGCCCTAGTACGGGTGAAGCTCCTGTAAACCTTCTTTTAAGAGTGTCAGACTCCCGTGTTAGGATAGTTGAAGTTCGTTTATTGGTGTCCACGCATCAATCGACGAGTGGCGGAGAAAGAACAGGGTTGTTATTGTTGTTGTAGCGGCACTACTAAGCCCCTCCTATTTCGGTGTGTACACCAATCGTTGTCGTCCAGCTCCACTAACGGTAGACCCAGGAAACGGGCTGTTTGTAGGGGTGTTAATTAAGTGAGGTCATGCGGGGAGTCTCCACATGCCGCACATTCTTATGAATATTGTGGTCAAGTCTGGAGAGGTCGCTGTTGTGACGGCTGCAATATCCAGACCGTAAATGGGTCGTCCCTTCTGGCAGAGATCCGCTGCACCCAATCAAGGTGAGAAAACATCGGAGACCGCCGGTTCGCTAATGGGCTTTATGAAGGACTTCTAGCCTTTGCACAGTTGCCTGGCACCTTGATCCGGCCCTACGATTATCGGTGAGATAGTTGTTTATGGCAACTTGGGAAATGGGCTGTGACGCCGTTCGAATTAGCAGTAAAAGAGTGAACAGGGTTTACCCTGGGGAGACCCCTTGTTCAAGAGGGATGCTAGCCTCCAAAGGGTCAATGCCTCTCATTCGACGATTTGAGATGTCGTGTGCTCTCAAAGCCATCATCACCTGAAATAGCCATATCCTTACAGCTATTCCGCGTGTTGTAACATCCAAGGAAGCAGCAGTTAATTTTTTTATGGTTTTTATGAAGAAAATTATTAAATAATTTTTTGATACTCTCTACTGTTATCTATGTTTATTATTTTACCAACGTAAAGCTGGATTTTTTTTAATTGGTANCACGGTGCAGCGAACAAAGGTGGCGCCGTCGGTGGTACCGCTACTATGGTTTTTCCGATTTTGACAGTTGTGGTAACTTGTAAATAAACCTTTGTTTACAAATCAGCAAAAGATAAATTTGAATTATAAGTGAAAAATCAATTTAAATTGTGTTAATTTGCAATTTTTGAGTTGAAGACCGCGTAAAAACTAATAAAATGTAGTGCTGTGTGTCAAATTGCGACAACCATCAAGATACAAGATGCGTAGATGCAAGTGTAGCGCTGGGACGAATCGCTGCATTTTGTGTACATAGGGCACGGCAAAGCCGTTCCCGAAATGCTTCTTTATTATTACATTAACAACATTTCCTCACAATGATTTTGCTTCTGCTCCAAGCAGCCTCCATTAGCAAGTTAACTAATCAATCCCGCTGAGATGCTGCCGAAGTTTTCTGCAGCAGCCTTAATTGCAAAGCAATGAAGTGCACTAAAACGTTTGCTGAAGCAGCCTCAATTGCAAGGCAATGGAGTGCACTAAAATGTTAACTATTCTCTAATAGATTAGGTAAAAATGCAATATCTTCGCATTTAGCAAAATTAAAACACGTTTTTCGCTGTAAAGTGAACTCTTTTGGCAGTTTCAACTCGTTCTTCTTTTCGCTCTATTCTTTGTTTACTTGTGGTACACAAATGTCAACGACCAGGACGGCGCAATCTTGTATTCTATCATTCTTGGTAATCTGTAATTGGGAGTAATTTAATTCCTAAAGGAATCATTACGACCCAGCTCTGGTGGTATCGGGTGAGCAAAAAAAAAACATTACAACATATTATATGCAAATGACAGCAAAATGTACCCAAAACTACAACAAACACATCCTTTTGATATTCAGAAGGAGCGCGGCGAATTCTAGCAACACCACCTTGCAAGGCGAATTTATACAAGATGGTGTTACTGGCGAATTTAGATTTTCGCCGCTGTACTTGTTAATGTCAAAATGATGTGTTGGTTGTAATATGAATTCGCCTTGTTTACAACAAACACATCATTTTGACATTAGGAAGTACCGCGGCCCTGCCACCTTGTATTAATTCACCTTGTTCTGCACATTTTACAAGTGACATTTCTCTTGTGTTCTATGCTGGCTCCTTGCGACACCCGGTGTGGTCAGTGTTCCGCTGTGCTGGCGCCATTGAGTTACAGAGTTGTGAAAATTGGTATCAGCGCCCGTAACTCTTAGCTAGGATTGGCAGCGATTAATCATTGGATTAAATTAAATTTGTTCAATTTACGATTTAATTGTATCATATTTTTGTGTTTCATTAATCGCAGCGCCGCACTGCGTTAAGCTGAAGGTAGATAGTTTTATTTACTGCGACGTTGCGTTGATCCGTTTGTGCGTTGACGACGTTGAAAAATTTGGTGTTACACACATTGCATTGCGCCAATCATTATTTTGTATACAAAAAACAGCTGCTAAGCATATCCACAAATGTAATTTCAAATGTCAACGCATGAACGCAACAGAAAAGTAGCGAGTTGGTTTACTTTCGACGGCAACTGCGTTACCGCATTCGTAAAGGCGTCGTCTGTAACAGCTGTCATACAAATACACGTATTCAATTTTATTTGACACTAACGGCGTGACGCATTTGCCGGCGAACGTATGTTGTGTACCTTCACTTTTGCCCATTCCTAGGTGATAACAAACAGCTGATTTGTTCGCACAGAAAGAAGTTCTGCGGGCGCTCCATTGGCGCTCGCCTTAGGGATGTCAGTGGCAAAAATACATCGATGTTTTTTCTCGCATCAATGCATCGAAACTTACATCGATATTTGTCGATACATCGATGCATCGATGCGCATAGAGTTTTCCTGCACTATGGAACCTTTTCGGGTATGCAGTCTTATAGCTCATAATACATATTTTAGTATAACAAACTGCAAGTCAGCCAAAGAGAAAATATTAAAAATCAAAGCAATTGAAACTTGCACTTTATTATACTAACATTTTATGAGCTATAAAACTGCATCTTCCTCCCTATGAACTTCAGACAAAGCGATATTTGGCCGTACGATGTATTTAAGATGTCAGTTTACAGAAAATTTACAGAAAACATCGATGTTTGGATGCATTGACTATTTATACATCCAGTGGAAAATTTTCGATGCATCGAAGCAAAACATCGATATTTTCGATGCATCGATGTTTTTCGCTAAGTATCCATAACTGAGCTTTTAATGCCATAGCAATTTGGACACAACTTCAACAGAAATAGTATGCGGGTGGAGGTTGCGTGTGGGATAGAGTAGTCGTTGTGTTGTACATTACGCGGTGTTTTTTTTTTGTTTATTTTTCATTTGAGTGCATATAGTTCATTTTACGGCCGTGCTTAGGGTAGGATTTCCAACTACGGAAATATCGCAAATGTCTCAAGGTGAATTATTGCAATTTGTAAATTGTCGTTTGGTACGTAATCATAAGCTGATACAGGAAGATCTTTGGGTGCGCAATGGCAAAATCATTAATCCAGAGCCAGTATTCTTCGATGAGAAGCAGCGGGTGGGTCACGTTGCTTGACTTACAATTACCAATTAATTTTATTATATTTTATTAATTATTAGGCACATCAACAAATCGATTGTGGAAATTCCATTATAGCTCCCGGCTACATTGAACTCCAGATTAATGGTAGGTAAACAAACAGATTGTGGGACAATGACCTCCGCAATGATGTATGTAAAGCTTACACTTTTCTAAATGTAAATCTGTTTTTATATACGCGCAGTTTTAATCCGAAGGCGTAAAAGCACACTGCTGCTTTAAATGCTTTGCCATTATCGGCAAATATGTAAGTGGATCAGGGTTTTATCTTATCAGCTGGCACTTCACTTAATCACAAATAATTGTAGGAATACGAAAGCGCTGTGCATTTTATGCAAAGAAAAAAAAAAGTTCCAGTTCTAGCACCAGCTTAAGACCTTTTTTTGTTTTGTATCCCTTTCAATCAGGCGGTTACGGCGTTGACTTCTCATACGATGTGGATACAGTCGCTGAAGGCATTGAGAAGGTCGCAAAAGAGCTAATCACAAATGGGGTTACTTCATTTTGTCCCACCATTGTAACGTCGCCACCGGAAACTTATCGGAAAATTATACCACAAGTAACGGGCACAACAACAGGCGCACAAGTTTTGGGCTTGCATTTAGAAGGTCCTTTTATCAGCCCACAAAAGAAGGGAGCCCATCCGGAGAACTGCATCAAAGATATTGATAATGTGAGTATACATATAATTTTACTTAGAAACAATTTTAATTTAAATTTCCCTTGCTACAGGGCATAGACACGTTGGTGGAGGCCTACAGCAACTTAGGAAATGCCAAAATTATCACGCTTGCACCGGAAAAAGATCCAACGGGCGCTGTCACAAAAGCGCTGACAAACATGGGTATCACTGTAGCCTTAGGACACTCCATTGCCAACTTGTCTCAAGGTGAACTTGCTGTGCAAAATGGTGCGCGGTTGATTACACATCTTTTCAATGCCATGTTACCGGTGAGCAAATATATCTTCTTTTCTAATAATCATGTAAATTTTTGCTTGGCATATAATTTTATACAGTTCCATCATCGGGACCCTGGTCTGGTTGGCTTGCTGGCGTCCAATAACATTCCACCTGCCCAGGAAATTTTCTTTGGCATAATTGCTGACGGCATTCACACACATCCGGCTGCTTTGCGTATAGCCCACCGCACTCATCCCGATGGTCTTATACTGGTTACGGATGCAATTGCAGCACTCGGTCTGGGCGAGGGCAAACACCCCTTAGGTCAGTTGGAAATGGAAGTACGCGATGGCAAAGCGTTCATTGCTGGCACTAATACTTTGTGTGGTAGTATTGCACCATTAGATACATGCGTACGCATTTTCAAAAAGGCAACCGGTTAGTGCAGATGTGTACATAAATACATACATATTTAAAAAATAGTTTTGGTATNCCGGTTAGTGCAGATGTGTACATAAATACATACATATTTAAAAAATAGTTCTGGTATTAGGTATGACACAACCGATAATTTTACTTCCTCTTTTCAGATTGCTCTACTGTATATGCGCTAGAATGCGCAACACTACATCCGGCAAGTTGTTTAAAAATGGCGGAAACGAAGGGTACGTTAAATTTTGGCGCTGATGCCGATTTTGTTATTTTGACAGATGACTTGTTTGTAAAGTCGACATGGATTAATGGCAAATGCGTATACCGTTGCAAACCTGAAGAATTGGAAGCGCTCACTGCCAGACCTATTGAACAATTATGCGAGTGTACATAAATTAGGTTGAAAAAATGTATTGAATTCGTTATTTTATTCAGTTGCACAATTGCTGAAATTCAAATTTTATTGCTTTTATAACCTAAAAGTTTTTATTTAGATCGCTTGAATCAACATGCAACTTATTTAAAATCAATTTTTGCATTAAATTGATGCTTACATTTTTAATGCACTTGTAATTTTTAATCCAAATTTATTTAATCTAGGTCATACATACATGTATTAAATTTGGGTACTGTTTAGTAAGTGGCCCAACAATTTCGGGGTATTGCGTCCAAAGGGGTGATCTGTTCCGAAAAAGTTTCCACACAACTGTAGTCAAGGGTCTACACATTATGCTAACATCTACTTTTGTAATTTTTGGCCACTAATTTATTTAGAAATTCGAAATATGCCTTTTTGTAAATTTCGGAAATCACCGTACATTTTTCACTCCGATTCTCCTTAAAGCAGCCACTTCACCAATACATTTTTATATTTCCCTTCACTTTACACTTTATTCGATTAGTTATAACTTTTTTAATTACTTTAATTTTAACCAATTAATNTCACTCCGATTCTCCTTAAAGCAGCCACTTCACCAATACATTTTTATATTATTTCCCTTCACTTTACACTTTATTCGATTAGTTATAACTTTTTTAATTACTTAATTTTAACCAATTAATCACAATNAGCCCCCTTCTGTGGTAACACAGAAAGGAGAATTCTACTTAGTGAGGGTTATAATCCCTAAGCGCGGCCGAAGGTCACCTACGCAGAAATGAGTTCTCTGCAAAAGGTGTTCAGCCCCCCATTTTTTGGGAACACAGAAAGGAGAATGCTACTTACTGAGGATTATTATCCCTAAGTGCGGCCGAAGGCCGCTTACGCAGAAAGAAGTTCTGCGCTAAAATACTATCATATTACTATTAGTATTGCATTTTTACCTGTCGCGTTTTTTAATATAACAATATTTTTAGTGAAATTTTTTTTAATAACTTCTAGTTAACTTGTTTTATACAAAATCGCCATAACCTGCTTAGGATAATTTCTTTTATTTAAAAATCCTACGGTTTTTGTTAGTGTGGTTATATTCCACTTCAAACTGCTCACTTTGTCTCGGTAGATGCCGTGTGGAGAATGTCCCCTTTCAAAACGGGGGTGGGTTTAAGAGGCCACGCGCCTCACACTCCGTCCCCTCCCCCAAAACGGTGGGCCAATAACTAAACATTTCCTATAAAATTTAATGCGCTATAAAAATGAGTACTTAAAAAATTCCAATTCAAAAAATTAAAAATGCATTATCAGAAAAATGAAATAACGGAATGACAAATAAAATTTATCNGCGCTATAAAAATGAGTACTTAAAAAATTCCAATTCAAAAAATTAAAAATTTAAAACTTGCAAACTCCGAAAAAACTTTCGGAAATGCATTATCAGAAAAATGAAATAACGGAATGACAAATAAAATTTATCANAAGACTGAAGGCCGCCTACGCATAAAGGTTTTCTCTGCAATAGGTAATCAGCCTTCCCTCCTTGGCAACACAGAAAGGAGACTTCTACTTAGTGAGGGTTATAATGCCAAGTGCGGCCGAAGGCCGCCTATACAGAAAGGGTTTCTCTGCAAAAGATGTTCAGCCCCATTTGGCAACACAGAATGGAGAATTCTACTAAGTGAGGGTTGTAATCCCTAATTGCGGCCGAAGGCCACCTACGCAGAAAGGTGATATCTGCAAAAGGTGTTCAGCCCCCTTCTGTGGTAACACAGAAAGGAGAATTCTACTTAGTGAGGGTTATAATCCCTAAGCGCGGCCGAAGGTCACCTACGCAGAAATGAGTTCTCTGCAAAAGGTGTTCAGCCCCCCATTTTTTGGGAACACAGAAAGGAGAATGCTACTTACTGAGGATTATTATCCCTAAGTGCGGCCGAAGGCCGCTTACGCAGAAAGAAGTTCTGCGCTAAAATACTATCATATTACTATTAGTATAGCATTTTTACCTGTCGCGTTTTTTAATATAACAATATTTTTAGTGAAATTTTTTTTAATAACTTCTAGTTAACTTGTTTTATACAAAATCGCCATAACCTGCTTAGGATAATTTCTTTTATTTAAAAATCCTACGGTTTTTGTTAGTGTGGTTATATTCCACTTCAAACTGCTCACTTTGTCTCGGTAGATGCCGTGTGGAGAATGTCCCCTTTCAAAAGGGGGGTGGGTTTAAGAGGCCACGCGCCTCACACTCCGTCCCCTCCCCCAAAACGGTGGGCCAATAACTAAACATTTCCTATAAAATTTAATGCGCTATAAAAATGAGTACTTAAAAAATTCCAATTCAAAAAATTAAAAATTTAAAACTTGCAAACTCCGAAAAAACTTTCGGAAATGCATTATCAGAAAAATGAAATAACGGAATGACAAATAAAATTTATCATAATGCAAGATCATAATGCACTTAGCAAGCATAATTAATAACCTCTTCAAATTTCACCCTGTGCTTGAGAAAACCGAATTTCTCAAGCATATGTGACACACTGTGCATGGGCTTGAACCAATTGCCAAATTTTTGTTTTTGTTTTGCTCGCTGTTGTTGACGTTGTCTTTTTCGAGACGGCGGCCGGGACTTTTGGCTACACGGAATTTAATTTATTTGGTTTTTTATTCTGGCAAATTGTAGAATGAAATTTTACGTTTATATATTGCTGCTGTGCGGTTTCTGTTTGGGCTCCCTAGCATGGGATTCTGAAGAATTGGAAATATTCGACTTGGTTGAAGAAATCAATCAGAACTTTTACGAATTTATGAACATTTCACACGAGGCGACAAACAATGAAATTAAACGCGCGTTTCGAGGCCTCTCTATTGTCCTACATCCAGACAAGAATCCATCTGAAGATGCCAATATACAATTTCGCAATTTGGTATCGATATACGAAGTTTTAAGAGAAACATCTAAACGTGAAAAGTACAATAAAGTCTTGAGAGAAGGCTTGCCAAACTGGAAGTCTGCGTTATATTATTACAGGCGTATGCGAAAGATTGGCTTGTACGAAGGAGCAGGAATACTTTTTGTCATAATTTCTATTGGTCAATATTTATTTGCTTGGGCTGCTTATCTGGAGAAGAAATACACTGCGGTAAGTTGAAATGGCCAATGTGAAAGCAGTTAAAAACACGATTTAAAACAATCAATTTCTTTAGGAGCAAGTATTCGGTTCCAAATTGAAAAAGTTGCAGAAAAAGAACAAAAGTATTGATATGGATGTCATTCTAAAAGAAATACCCTCACCTTCGATCCTGGTAAGCTATGGACTTATGAATAAGGGGATCAATACAAAGATTATATTTCATTTCAGAATACATTGCCTTTCCAAATTCCGCTTTTTATTTGGCACTTACCAAGCGCCATAAAAGAAGCACTCAATAGAGCAAATGAGCTTAAAGAAATGGCAATGGAAAAACGAAGACTGTAAGTTAGCAAACAAAATGTATATGTATTAACATACGTTTGTTTGTACATATGTACATTATTTTATAAACATTTTTGTAGCGAACTCGAAGAAGTCCAACGCCAAGAGGACCTCGAGCGCGAACTCGAAGAACAGGCGCGTTTACGAAAAGAAAAGAAAGAGAATCTACGTAAACGACGTCAAAACACCACTGCCCCTGAGAAAACTGACGAAGAATTACGAGGCTATTCTCAGATACAGGCACGGGAATTGACCGAAGATGATGCTGTGAAACCTGTACAACAAAAAGTATAATTGAAATTTAGCTACTGATAATGGCGTTTTGTTTTTTATGAACTAACGAGCACTTTTTCCCTTATATAGACAGCGCTTAGTGGCGGCTTCTGGACTGATGAAGATCTCACCGAACTTATACGCTTAGTCAAGAAATACCCTGGGGGTTCTAGTGCACGTTGGAATATCATCGCCGAAACAATGAATCGGTCAGTGCAAGAAGTTACTTTCATGGCAGCGAAAATGAAGGAAAATGGATACCGTCTTCCGGGCCAAAGTGCCGAACAAAGCTCTGAATTCACGACACAGGAAGTGATTAAAAAGGAAAAGGTAAAGAAATCTGCGGCGGCTGATAAGAATATACTGGTGCCGGAGACAAATTGGTCTCAGGAACAACAACGTGCGCTGGAATCAGCTATTATTAAGAATCGTAAGAATGCGACCGGCGATCGTTGGCAAAAAATTGCCAACTGTGTGCCTGAAAAATCTAAGGAAGAGTGTTTATTGCGCTACAAATATTTATGCGAATTAGTCAAATCGCAAAAGAAAAGTGAAGAGGAAGCCGCCACCGACAATCAAGAGGAAAACTGTGATCAGGTGGAGACTATCGAAGAGGAACTGCCAACGTCAATAAACGTAGCTGAAGATAATATCGTTGAAGATGAGTCTGTAGACAAGGTTGGGAAAAAACGCAATAAGCGAAAAGAACGCCGGCGAAGACGTGATATGTCAAGCGACGAGGATTCAGATGATGCTTATCAGTACGAAATTAACTAATGGCGGGGGTAACTAATTTTACCTATTTTTTATTTTTTTTTACATACATATGTAGATTGCGTTGTTTTTCCTTACACACTTCTTTTTAATTGAAAATCAATTAAAATGTAGTTATTCACACATAAATATGTATATTGGATAGCAGGCGCTTTAGGTTGCCGTAAGCTCGTGTGAAGCGATCATTATGCCATTATGCCAGAGCTAAAATAATAAAAACTACTAATTTAAATACATATAGAAAATAGGCGCGCATATTCCATTTAGTTTTATTCATTTGATGATGTAACAGATTCTTTACTTATTTCTAAAAGCGAATTTTGCGACATTTCAGTCTCATCCTCATCATCTTCGATTTCCATTTCAAAAATGGTCATCTTGCGGCATTGATCCGAGAGCACAGTAACCACCTGAAAATATTTGTTCACTTAAAATAGTATGCAAATCCTATTTCGAACAAACGATTTTCTCACCTTCCTACTACCCGATACGGCCAAATGTGTGCACTCGCCTTCAAGTGGCTTCAAACAGTTACTCTCCATTAGATCAGGCACATGACATGCAAAAGCCACATCCATCAAGTTAATATTGTTTGGCATTATATGCTGTGTTTGCTTGCCTTTTGTCGCTTCTAATGCAAGTTGCAAGAAATAGCTTTGCTTATCATCCTTTTGCGCGTTACTTTTTAATAAGAGCGACAATATACTCTCATTGTAAAAACCTAAATCCACAAATCTCAACGTATCAAATACATTATCACGCAGGATATCGCTTGTAAATGGGCCAGATAGTAAATCGAGCCGGGTGCACTTCAGCAGGGAAAAATTCTTATTGAATTCCATCAACAAAAGTTCGTGATAGCTTATCGTTGTAACCAAGAGATCTGTATGTGCTTCGTCATTCACGAAAAATGAACTATGGATGGTAACGCCATTCTCCGAAGTGGTCGGTAGTGACGCACAAGTGATGCTCGCATCCTGCACAAAACCACCACTAATACTTTCATTGGGGCGCTTGAATACATTCTCGACTGCTTGCAGCAGTTTGTCACGCTGTTGTATAAGCGAACTTTCTTTTTCGTGTGGAAAGAGTAAAGAGCAATTCCGTAAACACTCATTTTCATCGAGTAGACGATGCCACAAATGATGCGGATCCGACTTGACGATCTGTTGTAAATTGCGGTTCTCCAAATACTGACCAACTTTTTCCAAATTAAATTTGCGCTTTGTTACGGTACCGTCCTCTGTAATTGAAATAGTTAAGTGAAACATTTTTTAACAAAACACCATAACGTTTGCTTACCATTCTCCACAACACTGTCCTCAAAACTGTTCAAATATTCTGCCAAATAAATAGTATCTTCCGGTGTAATTTGCGTCATTTCTTCGGGTATATCATGCTGATGGAGACGCAAAATTACAATGCAGAGCCATGAGAAAAACAATTTCATGTCATTGACACACTGATCAATGACTTGCTGCATTTCCAACACTTTCATCAGAAATGAGCCACATTCACGAAGTGCCGCTTGTGTAGCATCGCACGAAAGAAGCGGCTACCAGTGTACAGTGAAGAAAGATTTTTATTAAATAACCATAGATACAGCATATGCATATGTATACTATTACCTCAAAGAAGTAGCTAATGCGACTCAAACCTTTCAGCGAGTTCAGAAAATAGAACATGTTTACACCACTGCTCTGTAGCTGTTTAGTCACAAGACTCTCTACAGTCGAATAACTCAAATCTATTGAATTGGCTAATTTTTTAAGACCTTTCTCAGTTAAATCACTAAACCGAAATAAAAGATAAAATTGATTGGCAAATATTTTCTTTCATATGCAATTAGCATTCTTACTCTCGAAGAAAATTCTCAATTTCATGTGTGGCATATCCAAATACAAGAAGCTCCAAAAAATCAGCCGAAATCGAACCTTCTGGTTGCTGGTGGGCATATTTTGTTAATTTATTGTCCATTTCCAAAAGCACCGTTTCCCAAGCTTCCATTATGCATTGAATGGTTTCATTGATATAGCTTTAAAAAAATAGCCATTAAATGTGAATATAGAAGGTCCCTATCTCGGCTTCTCACTGAAATACCAAAAGCCGTGACTAAAAATCCAAAATTCACTTTTTGATTTATTGTTGTTTTTGTAGCGGCATTACTAAGTCCCGCCTATTTCGGTGTGTCCATCAAACGTTGTCGTCAAGGCCCAAGAAACAAGCTGTTTGGACAGAGGATTGCTAGTTGAGTGAGATTGTCGTGCACATTAGGGATATTGGGGTCGAGTCTGGACCGGTAGCTGTTGAGACGGCTGCAATATCCAGACCGTAACTGGGCCAGAGTAAAGCGGGTTTCTTTTGGCTGTTGGAACTATAACTCCCCACCTTGTTTTATGCAATACATCATTTTAGTTAGTTACGGCATTTTTGTATTTCAACGGAGATGTCAGACGGGGCCTTTCTATATTAACGTTTAGGTGCAAGAAATTATTTTTAACTTACTTTTTAGTTTCCAGCACATTGGCGCAGTGCACTGCCAAATGTAGCATCGGTGATATGTACTCCTGCAGTACTTTATTATGAAAATGCAATACCTTGAGCTCGTTTCCATCGGACACCAAGGCGTAGATAGCATTAAAGTTACCACTCAAGCGAACATCATGTACTGTGAACTCTTGTGGATGGNTGCAGTACTTTATTATGAAAATGCAATACCTTGAGCTCGTTTCCATCGGAAACCAAGGCGTAGATAGCATTAAAGTTACCACTCAAGCGAACATCATGTACTGTGAACTCTTGTGGATGGACAACATGCTGCTTTAAGTCTATTTGACCGGCCCGCAGCGCACCGAGCAGCAACAAATGCACTTTGCCAGTTAAGGTAATGACTACTAAGAAGCATGGGGAACCCTTAGCAAAAGACCTTTGCTCTTCTGGTGATTTGGGTAAAGAGCCTATGCCGCTTAGCGGTGGTAAAGGTGGTAGAAAGAAATCGAAAGTGTGCTGCCGTTGGTATTAGCATATTAAGAGCTAGGTAAANGCGGTGGTAAAGGTGGTAGAAAGAAATCGAAAGTGTGCTGCCGTTGGTATTAGCATATTAAGAGCTAGTTCAAAAAAAAACGAAAATAGTTAAGATGTACCTCTGTTCGATTACGATAAGTGCTGCGATAGTCCGAGGTTTTTATAGCTTTACTAAAGTAAACTCGTTTGATGTCCTCCTCAAAATGCAGCATTGATATTTGATCTTCACGCTCGGCATCCAACAACGTCACTCGTCCATCACTATAACCTAAAATGTTCAGAGGTTTAAAATCGCTAACAGCTTAGTGTAGTATTTGTGTACCGGCAGCTAAAACCGTTTCATCCAATTGCCAGCCAAGTGAGCGTACCGCAATGTCCTCGCCCAGAGATGGAAATGTCACTATCTTTTGCCAGTTTAAGCGCTGTATAATGACTTCACCTGTAATGAAGAGCTTGTAATTAGTTTTGTTATATGCCGCGCTCTACTTTTCCCAGTTGCAGACTCACCTCTGTCGGTGCCATAAGCTATCAAATCCATTTTGTTGCTCCATTCCATGCGTTCAACAGCGCCACCCACCACACGGGAACCCATTTGTTTCATGGAGTTCGCTTGAGCCATGATGCTAAATAGATATTTTTTTGTCTAATTTTCAGATGTTTTCCTTATTCGCATTGATAAAACAATAAACTATCCATTTTGTTTTCAATTTGCTAATTCCTCTTCTCCTGCTTTTTGCGCTCTTTGATTAATGCCCCTAACTGTTCTTTAAATGTGTTGCCGTTTAGTCGCACTTATTTGATCGCAACATTTCCTGATTACAGTCTGAATAGTGGCAACTCTTAGAAAATATTTTTTTATAATCTACCTGTTTAAATTAAACATAACTACCTAAATTCATTTTCGGTAATCGTAGTATAAAAACATTTTCTTATATTAATGGTTTAATTGATCATTTTTCGAATATATCTCATTACAATGGTCATCAACTCACTGGCCTCGTGGATTGCATTGTTATATGGCAACGTCAAATTCTGACAGCTGCCAATCAATAATGCCCAATGACAAATATTAATGCCCACTACTGAACCGGCGCAAAATGCTTGTGAAATTTTTTCACACTGCACACAGTTTTACTTTGCAGCCTGCGCCATTCCATTAATAGTGAAAAAATCTTGTGATGGCAAAGGTGAGTGTTTAAAGTTAATAAAAAATTCATATTTATGGAGTAAAATATGTTCCGAAGCTATAGTGATTGAAAGTTTATTGGTAAATTTGATTAAAACGTGCCAATTCGCTGTGGAAAAGAGCCCGTGAAAAATCTCAGGGCATAGAAACGAAAAGTTCTTTTTTCATGCGGGTGGGTTAAGGGGGTCGTCGCGAAAAAATCTAGAAATAGCGTGGAAAACGTAATAATTCTTAAAAAATTTGCATTACGTGTTTGAAAATTTATTAAATCTCATTAAATATTAAGAATTTCGCATTGAAGGACATTTATTGATGACAAAAAAGAAGAAAATGACTTTCAAGGACACTTATCGAATTCTATGGAATGGTTAGCTGTTTAAAGGGGCACGAGGGTTTTTCTTGCATGTATTTGTACGCGTGCCGTAGTAGTACTCGTTGGGTGGTGGTGGGTTAGCTTGCTGTGGTAACAGGCCACAGGGCCTTCCGGAGCACGAGTTCGTGTATAAAACACTCGTTAGACATTGAGTATTGGCGAGTTACCGAGTGTTCCTTGCACTGATTCGTTTATCCAGGGTCAACAATTTGCGCTACAACAGACAGGACGTCGACGTGATCTGCATTGTACGGATGCAGTGCCTGAAAAAATTTCCACCTTTTAAGTTTACCCCATTCGTAACTGGCTTGAACTGCATTCAACATTTGATTGAATTCAAGGCGTATTTAACATGGTGGTGTTAGCCGTATATAAGTAAAATACACCTTGGATTGAATTATTTGTGGTCTGTTGAGACCACAATTCGGAAAAATGCGTTTTTTGGTTATGAAAATTTATTAGTGAATTTTTCATAAATTGAACAAAAAGTCAATTAAGAAAACGATGTACATGAATAATTGATAATTATGCACCGAAAAATTGGTAGAACCAATAAGAAAGCGATTGTAAAAGGACGGCACAACAGATGTGCCGTGAACAATCACACAACCTTTCGGCATACCGTACAGCAATCCATGCAGATAGGAAATTTCAAAGGTACGAATGCGAATCTACAAACAACTCTGCAGTGCCCGGTGTTACCAACGCACACTGTAGAATACACGTTGGAGGTTACAGGATCGCTAGTATTCGCAATTTGAGGAATGAACACGTTTTATGGGCTAAATCCTAGTTGTTTGAACGATTGACGCGCGAATAAATTAAACAAAGCGTAAAACTACTTTTTATAATTTGTATGTACATAATTGAATAGGGTTTGTTTCCACAATTGTGTTTTAATTGACTGTAAAGGTTATCTAACATGTGCGTATTTTTTTTTTTTACAAGCATGCATATATGCATGTGCCACGCGTGGATTTAATTCAAATGCATAGTCAAAATTCAAATATTAATCATTTAAAAAATAAATTATTTGATGCTTATAGAAATTAAATAATACGCTGTTTATGCAATGTTGTTGTAGCTACATAACTGGCCGTCTCCGCAGGATAAAATTTATTGCTGCCCAGCTGTCGTTTTGGTTGCTAGATATAAGTTACTTATACGTATATGTTGCAATATTTGTGTGGGCTTTTTATATCTTGATATAAGCATTTGTAGGATGGCATCTAAAATGTAATTATGTCGGATTTAATTGCTTAAAAAATTTAGAAAGTATGGTATGTTACATTCAAGTATGTACAAAATAATAAATATTTTATTAGAAAACATCTCAATTTTTGCTTATTGAATATTAAAATATCAATAATGTCGCCGCGAAGTTCTCGTGCAGATGACTACCAAATTGCCAGCAACTAGCGGTCTCCATTGGCTATTTATATTCTATTGGCTACATGTGTATCAAGTTATAAAACTATTTGTTTTTATTTATTTATTTATTACACTCATTTGACCTATATATGTTCACGTATATACATTTGTAATATGTATTGCAAATTTAATATATAATAAAAGTAAAATTAGAGCTTAATATAAATATACCTGACACAATTTTCCTCTAAGCTATAAAATAGTTTATGTGTAATTAACTAAGATAGTATATTCTCGATGCTGTTGGAATGTACGGGATTCCAAACAGTATCGTAAATATATCACGTGTAGGACATGCAGTCTAGAGTGCAATTACCAGAGCCGCCACAACTGGGCGGTTGGATAGGACGAGTTTCCAAGCCGGATCGGAAGTAAGGACAAGTTTCATGCCGACCTTTCTATTTCATACATTATGGGCGATCTGAATGGACGAAATCCAGAGTCACTCGGATCTTTCTATCTAATAGCCAATATTCTGCAGTGATCAAGCAGCAACTTTATCACAATTTTTTATTTGAGCTGCAGCCGGATTTCACCATTTGCTCTCGCTAACAATCTCCAAAGGAATGGCGGACGCGCCTAACAATATGCAACATCTAGTTACATGCCCTTCATACTGCCAGATTTGCTGGATTACGCATTGCATCTGTTACTTTTCCATGTTACATACTTTTAGGCCCCACTGATTTTCATTTAGAGAATTTTAGCGGTGGAAATTTATCGAAGCGATTGTCAGAATTCCAATGCTGGAAGTTCATTTTAACGTTTTAATCCTTTATAAAAGATATTCTTATCTATTTCCGTTTTCTACCGCGGCGGCCTGAAGCATCTATTTTCCCTGAGTAAATATGAAGTGAGTTTCACTATTATATCATAAGATATCGCTCAGGTAATCTGGGAGTCTACCTTGCTTTGCGTTAAACACTAATTTCATAGCGTGATAAAAATTTGCTATTTCACGCTCAACCAGTTTAAAAATGCGATCATTTCCCGTATGGGTGTTCGTACCGCTTGTTCAAGATAAATCGCATAGCCCTATTTTTCATTTTTGAAACTTATCGATATGTGTGTCGTTTGCTATAAAAAAGATTGTTGGACAGTATATGAAATGTGGTACAGCTATGGATCTGTAGACCAGATCTATACCTAGATATTTAATTATTTTTACTTTCTCAATTACTTTATCTTTAATTTTTAAGCTGTAGTTATCGGAGCTAACGTTAGCTGCTCTAGATATAACCATAAACTTTGTCATGTTCACATTCAATTGGAGTATGTTAACGCACAACCATTTATATAAACAATGAAGGTCTTCTTGCATTTTGATCATTCCATTGGGTAGATTACTTTTGGAAATCTGCTGGAGTGGCAGTCCTTTGTCTTTACATTAGGGTGGTAAAAAAAAAAAAAATTTTATGTCGGAATTTTAATGCTCTTTATATATATATAGTCGCCTGAGTAAAAGATTGTCGTATGTTCATATCGGCAGATTTTCTTCAAAGTCTCTGAAAATGTTACTAGTTCACAAAATTCTTAAATTATTTAATTTTTAATGTTTATTGTTAATTAGTTTTGAGTTTATGAAGGATTTCCTTTAGTAAACTTTTGTTGTAAGTGTCATTTGTCCACAATTTGGCAGCCACTTTGTATGAAATACGACAAAATGTGATCAAAATTTCTACTAAATTAGCGACACTTTTTACTCAATATCTGGAAAACTAAAGGAGATATCCAAAAATGGAGTTTAATATGACTGCATCACCAACTAAATTTTTAATAAATTATCGAAAAAATTGTAGCCGAATATCTCGGAAACTAACTGAGATATCTAAAAACTGAAAACACCAATCGAAAGACCTCATTTCAAAATATATAACTGCATCTAAACCTAAAAATCGTAAAAATTGCGCTTAAGACAATCTTTACCCAGGCGACGTAGATGTCGCTCAAAGCGCAAAGTTAAAACATTTTTCATCATTTCACATTAAATACGATTCTGTTTTCAAATAGAAATAAATTAATTTGCCACAAAGTTTTCACTGTGAAAATTTGTTNTCGGACAAACCCCATATATACCCAAGTTCAACAATTTGTAGAAAACTACAAAAAAGTGTAACAAATTTTCACCTAAATTTCAAACTTTTTTCTCGTTAGTGATAGAATTTTTTTGAGGACACAGTTTTTTATCCCCTGCAATTTTAGTCTGATAATGTGCAAATTTCAAGTGGCTACGAGTTACCGTTAATTTTTTAGAATTTTTTTTTGTCGCATTGGCTTCCATATAATGAATAAACTCAATTTGTTTGTATATGGAAGAAAACCGCAACATCCTTGGCGAAAAAAATTCTAAAAAATCAGCGGTAACTTTTAGCCACTTGAAACTTGCACATTATCAGACTAAAATTGATTGGGCTATAAAACTGTGTATTCAGAAAAATTCAAACACTTCCGAGAAAAAAGTTTGAAATTTAGGTGAAAATTTGTTGCACTTTTTTGTAGTTTTCTATAAGTTTTTAAACTTAGGTTTATATGGGTTTTGTTAGATAAAGAACTGTATTTTAATTGAAAATTCTTAAAAATAAATAAATAAACATAAGTGGCACACAATATCACTTTGAAATGGCGTGCTATAGATATGACCGATACTATAGATGTCGCTCAAAGCGCAAAGTTAAAACATTTTTCATCATTTCACATAAAATACGATTCTGTTTTCAAATAGAAATAAATTAATTTGCCACAAAGTTTTCACTGTGAAAATTTTTTTCACAAAGTTTTGTAGCTATGAAAAAGAAATAATCATGCCTATTAGGATATTCAATCCATCCGCATGGATTTTATCCGAATCGCACTGTCATAACAATCGAGCGTTAAAGATTATATTCGTGTGAATGGCATTCGTAGGATACATGCCTATTCTGGTACGAAGAATGTCATATGCATGAATCTAATCCTTCACGCTCACCACAATGCAATCCCGTACTTAAAGTCCGATTTGGTTCGTATTTAGAACGGCGGCCTCTGCGTTATAGTGTTATAGTGGTAAGCAGTGCGCGCTTCAACTCCGCAGGGCCTTGGTTTAAACCCTGGTCACAGCAACATCGCAGAAAAAATTTTTAGAAAAAAGGTTTTTTCTTAACAGCGAGTGTATTTCTGCCATGAAAAACAGCTTCTCATAAAAATACAATCGCCGTTCG